AAAATAAATTTGTAACAAAAATAAAAAAATGTTTGTGCCATGGCAAGTCCCAAATGGTAAAAGCAACAACGCTGCTCCACAAGGCGATGAGATATGACATAATAATCCTCTAAACGGAGGAACATAAAGAACCATCAACGTCTCAAACAAGGTTGTTCTATTTGTGACGTTTACTTAGGAATTTACAAGCATTGATGAATTGCTTGCTCCTTTGTAAATAATATAAAGTTGAGAGATTTTCTACCCAGAAAACCATCTCCGTCACATACAAACTATAACTATTAAAGATTAAAACAAAACCAAAGATCAAATCATACTGAAGAAGAAAAAAAAACATACAGAGAGACGACTGCTGAAGTACTGAGTAAGACCTGTTCAAGAGAGATGTGAAGATTGGTTTATATAGTTTACTCATTGTATCTTGGTCGTTGGATATGTGATCTGACGGTAAGGACTTGTTTAGGGTTTGGCAAGTTGGCGACTACGCAGCTAGTTTAGGGTTTTAGAACCCAAAGGTTTAGCAACTAAGCCGTCAATAGACTAGATCATGGTCCAACCCAAAGCCCACAAAAAAGCCAGCCAAGCTAAAAAGCCCGAGGTATATGGACTAAGTTATGATACAAGTCCTATATACAAGGTCAGCATTCTTTTGTTTGTTGTTTTAGGGCACCTTTGCTTCTTCCAAACATCTTGTTTTTGCATGGAACAAAAATTGTTAATAAACAATCTTTTATAGAAGAATTTTTAAATAAAGAATCTCTAAAACTAAAATTTTACAACGAGATACAGACAAAGTGATTTATAGAAGAATATTGTAATATGTGGAATATTTTTCTGCTTACTAGGGGTTTGCTCACAACGCACTCCAGTTGGAAGAAAACATTGGGTCTGTTTGATTGGTCAATGGAATAATTCCCACATCAAATATTATCTACAAATTTTTTTTACATGTGTTTGATTGGTAAGCCCCGTTTAGGTAACATTTTTTGGGTGTAAAAGTTTCTCACCAATCCTTCCCCCATCATACCCTAAAAAAAATTCCCCCAACTTTCACCCTCTCTTCTCTTCTTCACCTCTCTTCTCTTCCTTTCTCTTTTTCAAATAACCAAAAACTTTCCCACATTAAACTTTCCCTCAATTTTTATATCCAATCAAACAACCAAAAACTTTTCCACATAAAACTTTTCCTCAATTTTTATATCTAATCAAACAACCTAATTGGGGGAATTATTTCATGTGAAAATATTTTTTACTTGAAAAATTCCCACAAATAATTATTACCAGCAATCAAACAGACCCATTATTTCTTAGG